CCTTTAAGATTCTATTAGATCCTGCAACAATAATGTAGCATTCCTAGACTCCCCATAGTGGCTGTTTTTGGACATTTGGGAGGGAGGGGGCTTTGAGTCAGTCTTGACTCCTGGCAACTGCCTGGACAAGTCCTCCAGTTTTCTTGGCAAGATTTCAGAAGTGGTTTGCCATTGCCTGCTTCCTAGGGCTGAGAGTGTGTGACTGGCCCAGGGTCACCCAGATGGCTTTGTGCCTAAGGCAGGAGTAGAACTCACAGTCTGCCATTGTGCCTTAACCACTACACCAAACTACTGGCCTACCTCAAAAAAGGGCTGAAGCCACTTCCTTTCTTTGATGTAGGATACACAAAAATCAACTTCTAGTGTGGATTAGAAGACATGTTTTCCCTCAAGAAAAACTCCAACAAATGGGAGTATCTGAAATGTCAAGATACTGAAGTGGATGGATGGACTTCAAATTAAAAAGGTAGATGTAAGGATTAACTGCAAAACATGTACATACACTTGTTAAGGCTTCCCCCAACATTTCCCCCCTACCAAGTATTTCATGGACATGTGTAAAGTGGGCTATTTTGCAAATTGCTCCCCTTAATATCCTGCATTTGGGGGGGGGTTGTTACAGGTGGTATCATTTTGGCCCTATAAGTAATATTAGCTATAACCTTCAGAAATAACTTTTCAAGAAATACTGTAGTATAAGAAGAACAATAGATTAGAGGTGCCAAGCGGATTTTGGAACAAGTAACATTTAGGGATATAAATTCAATGACAGGTTTGTAGCTTTTCAGAGCACTTTGGCATCAACTCCACTATATTTCCCATCCAGGGAAAATGCAATGGGAGAATCCCATTCCATCATCTGCAACCAGGTTACAATTAAGGACTTAATTGTACTTCCATAATTTAATCGCACCAGTCAGCGGCGATTTAACCATGACATAGTAACAGCCTTCTTAATGCTATTATGGCAGTAATCAGCTTCTGTATGCTTGCATCTGTTTAAGACTTGCCATTGAAGAGAAAGCCATTCATGCTGAGAGAAGCTGGGAGTAACAGAATCATGTAAAGGCCAAAGAAGGCTACTTAACTGGCTAGGTTGCTAGATATCTCAGAACGAACACACTGAGAAAAGCATAACCCCCCCCCCCCATAAAAGAGTAACATATAACAAGGGAGATTAACTGTACCCCAAGCATATGCTGAATAAAATAAACAAATCAAGCACATTTCAATAGAGTAGACCAGTCTTTCTCAACCTTGGCAACTTGAAGATGTGTGGACTTCAACTCCCAGAATTCC